CTTACTGGACCTTTTTATACCAGTTATCGCTCCCTCCCCTCCATCACTTTATTTTACATATCCTGTTTTACTAATAAGGTACACATTTCTAGAGTCTTATTTTTAGACATCTTCTTGACCCCTTTAAGACTCAATGAAATGTAGGAGAGCAAACTTACATTCTTTCATTTTTGGCTTTGTATTCTCAGATATTACACAATGTCTTGCCCATAGCAAATGTTTAGTGAATTTTGAATTGGCAGGATATAGGCAAATTACTCTAGGGATATTTGAGGCAGGAGAGAACACTTTTTGCTGAGAAGATCGGTAGAGAAAGAAAGGATCATGGAGAAAGTGGCACTTAGGTTGAGTCTTGAAAGGAAAGGATTTGTAATCCTTTAAATTAAAAATTTAACAAAAGAATGCATTTCATTGATGGAAAATTTGCCTTTGAAAATTCAGGGACACAGAAGAAAATAGCATTTTTGAATCCTTGAAATAGATAGTCGAGATTGACTTGAATGACAAATGCATTGAGTAGAGTAATGTCAGATAAGGTTTGGAAAGGTATATTGGAGTCATTCTCTGACCTTGCATTTTCTGTTTCCTTTGCCTGGAGAAAAAAGTACCTTCCCTTAGTCCCACTGATAGGGAATTTGTTTAATTAGTCAGTGGACAGTATGAGAACCATTCATTTCTTTTGGGCTATTAACTGTTGTTCGGAGAAAACAATGTGAGAGAATTTTGATTGCATCATCAGTTTCCTAAGAAATAGATTGAGGTCACATTTTTTTAACTTATGCTCTGAAAAGCCAGCAGATGGCAAGCTTGAGACTTTTAAGGCATTTCTGATTTGACTTTCAACTTGAAACCCTTGATATATGTGTGCATATACTGATCCATCAGTCACTGAATCTCATGAATGGATCTTTGCCAGTAAGTCTTACACAATTCTAGAATTTCAGGGTTCACAGATATCACACTAGAATCCCAGCCACTGGTAAACAAAGAGCATACTTTGTATTGTTTCTTTTCTGTTACTAAATCATAGCATTTCAGTGTTTCATGGGAATTCAGAGTCAACCTATAACTGGCAATTATTTATCCAGGCTTTAACTGGAGACCTCCAACAAGGAGAAATTTAGTACTTTCTTTAGCATCCCATTCCACTCTAAGAAGATACAACTTTTAATAAGTCCCCCCCCCATATTAAGCCTGTCTGTGATTTTGTAACTTTTACTATTGTTCTTGTTTCTGTCCTCTTCCATAATCCAATTCCATTATCTGTTTCACATGAAACCTCAGCAAATATTGGAAAGTAGCCATTATGTATCCCCTCAGTCTGTTTTGGAGGCCAAACCAAAATTTCTATATACTTCAACTGACCCTTATGTGATAATAATGTAAGACCCTCCATGATCCTGATTAGCCTTCTGTGTTTATTGATGCTTTTCCTAAAATGTGGTACCCAGAACTGAATCTATCAGATTTGGTCTGACCAGGGAAGAGTGAAATGGTTGGGGGGGGCACTATTACTCCCCCCTATTCCTGGGAATTCACCTTCTGTCAGTGAAACACAGGATTCCATCACTTAACTCGCATATGATATTGTTGATTCATATTAAAAGGAGTCCATTGAAATCATGATGTCTTTTTTTCAGATGAACTGTTCTCTAAGAAATGCTTTTATTATGTAGTTATCCAAGAAGCAACTATATTGGGAAATCTAGTGTACCTTGCATGACATGTGCTCACTCTTGATTACTATGATCAAAGAAAGATGTCACCTATCCTTAAGTTTGACTTTGTAAATCTTTGTGTTATCTAATGAGATACCCAGTAGCATAATTGGTAGAACAGAACCGGTCCCAGAAAATCCTTATTTGTATTCTCAACATTTTAAATATGCATTAAGCTGTGTCATATACTACCTACAACTCAGAAAATTATGCTTCCATTTACATTTCTAGGATCAAGACTATATCTGTGCATAAATTTCTTGATGGCCACCATCCACGTCCATGTATCAATGAAAATCTGTCTCCATTTAAATAAGTGAATTTGAACTTCACAAATCTTGATTTCATCCAGGGATCCAGGCAATGTCAGTATGTTAATGTGCTTACATGTCTAATCTGAGACTTTTACTAAATGAATATAATTAGCCTAGAAATAGAAATGGAACCATAATTCATTAATATGCTCATTGTTTTTCCTTCCAAATGCAAATCTTCTCCTAACATGAAACAACTGAACAAGCACATATTAAGCATATTCTATTTATCAGGTATTGTGCTAGGATCCGAGGACGCAATGACAAAAACAAAAACAGTTCCTACTCTCAAGTCTTTCAACCTGCCTGAGCTAGTTTCCTCATCTCTGAAATAGGAATAATAATAGCTGTATGCTATATTAGACCAACAAATCCCCCTTCATAATCACATTACAGTTCCTTAGGTTTCTGCAATTATTATTTAATATAATCAAGCAGTTTATAATGAATTTCTGGCTCTTTCTACTGAGAAGAAAAGTATGAAACAAATACTGCAGTGATTAATGCCAAGAAAAGGGGCAGGCAAAGTGAGTATTTTATCATTTTTTTAGAGAAATAGGATGAATTCAATGATTTTATGGATAAAATTATAGCTCTGTTAGGGCACAGAACTGATTGAAAGGAACTGGAAATACAGGACTTTGTGTATATTTGTGTGTGGGGGGTATCTTTTTCTCAACTCTAGCTTTTATTCTTCCACTGTCCTTACAGCTGGCAATGCCCCTGCTGTAACTAAACAGGAGAAGTTATGAAGAAAGTGTTATACTTTCTCTTGTTTGGGGATGTCTAGATACTAACAGCTGTTAGGATACGGAAGGGGGAAGCAGGAGTATGCACAAGATGTTCCAAAAGTCTTAGTGCAGTTTTAAACCAAGAATTTTGGGACACCTTGTATCTGTGTGTTGGAGGTGTGAGAGGGAAACTAACTTTCTAGATGAAGGATGGAGATAAAGCCACATGTAGCCCTCTAGGTCCTCAAGTTTGGCCTTTTAACTGAATCCAAATGTCACAGAATAAATCGCTTTAATTTAATATAAAAGATTTGTTCTATAAAATTTTGACTCAGTTAAAAGGCCACACCCAAGGACCTAGAAGGCCACATGTGGTCTTGAGGCTGCAGGTTCCCCACCCCTCTTCTATATACACTCCCTTTGGAAAATATAATTTTTTCATTGAATTGGAAACCAAGACTTGAACACGGTGACTGTATACCCATGATTTTCAGAAGACTAATGTGCCACATGAACCTTGCATGCAAATCATGGAAATAATTTTAATAGCTGGACTATAGTGCCTCATTCAGTGCTCTGAATCTCTATTGTGAGCAGGTTCTGGGTAAGTCAAGTGAGTGAGTGAGTGAGTGTGTGTGTGTGTGTGTGTGTGTGTGTTTGTGTGCTTGTTTTCTTTGATCAATGTCTTTTTCAAAAATTGTGAAACATATCTTGTGAATTAGAGTGAGAACCCAATGAGCCAATCACTGCTCTGTCTAAGGCTGTCTACTGATTGGAATGAAAGAAATGCTTCATCTAATACCTATTGGGACTCCACCATACCATCCCAGAGAGTAGGACAGAACAAACAAGTTCTTCCTTCCCCAGCATCACCTAGTAAAAAACCCTAAGAATGAATTGTTCACCTTAAGCCTGACTTGAGAGACTTCCCTGAAATAAGAGAGTCTTTGGGCTGAAGAAGACCCTTGTCCCTTCTAGGGAGTGGACAATATTCCACTAGGAAGTGGAGGTATTTCTATAACTATGCCCTTTTGTCTTTTAGGCTCGGGAGCCTTCTCATATTCTCTACTCTCTCCCTTGACACATTCCTCCCCACTCCCTCCCCCCCTCCCCAGAAAGTTTTGCGCAAAAAGAGCTTTGATTCTGCAGGGGTATTTTCTTCCTTCTCAAAGGGAATGCTAAAGAGGGGAGGGGAAGGGGAAAGGTGCATCTTGGTCCGCTTGTAGTTCATTAGGGTCCCTGGGCGGGGCTGAGCAAAAGCCAGCTTGGGTATTGGCTCTAAACACACACACACACACACACACACACACACACACACACACACATATATGTATATATATAATATATATATATATATGTATATATCTGTCTTTTTCCCTCCTCCATCAACCTCCTAAATTCCAATGAGGTCACTGCGATGAGCAAGAAGAAGATAAAAAGAGAAGGGGAGGAAGAAGAGGGTGGCGGTGAGGGGGAGGAAGAAGGAGAAGAGGAAACAGAGACAGAAAGGGGCAATCAGACAAGGTCGACTTTTTCTGAGACACAGCAACTGTGAGGAGTGTGGTGCTGAATGTAATCTGCCTGGAAGAGAGACGGAAGCGGAGATAGAAGGACTGAGCCACTTTTCTATTACGACAGTAACAAAGGGAGACGAGGCAGAGAGGAAGCAGAAAGAAGGGAGCGAGCCCTCCCACTCGCCCCCCCGCAGAAGACAAAACCCTTGGACTCGGAAAAAGGATCAAGGGAACCCGAAGTGCTGGAAGACACAGGACAGAGAAAAAGCCAGCTAACGAGAGAGGGGGCGTGCAGGTTTCCTGCAGGGACTTTGGACGCAGCAGCACCCTGGACAGCGCCCGGGTGAGCGCATCCCTGATAAAAAGACTCATCTCTAAGCGGCCATCCTCTTGAGAAGAGGTTACTTTTGCAACATCTCCCCTCTGTCTTTCCTTCCCTCCACTTCAACTTGCCTTCAGCCCTGGAGCAGAAGGAAATCCTTTGTCCTTCGGCACTTTGAACGTGCCAGGAGGTGCCCTGGGTGCTTTGGTCCCGTCCAGAGATACTCGCCTCTGTCTCTGGGACTGCATACCTATTGGAAAATGCTAAACTGGTGAAGAAAGGGGAAAAAAGTTTTGGGGGGTCTACTGGGGGAGAGAGGGGAGCGCACGGGGAAAGCGGAAGACAGAAGGTGGATGGTTTGTTTCCCGGGCTGATCTGGAAGGAATGATGACCGAGGAAGGATGTGCACCAGCGGCCAGATCATTGGGAGCCTGCTGGTGCTCTCTGTGCTGGAGATAGGGCTGGGGGCGTCCAGCGTGGCCGTGGGGGCAGTGAGCTTCAGCCTGGCCCTCAGAGAGCACCAGCCGCAGCTTGGAGACTCCTCTCCGGTATGGAGCGGGCTGTGTGTACGTTAAGCCATTTCACTCTCTCTTTAACTCTTGTTGCTGATGATCATTGCGTGTTTAATAGCTCCTCCCCGGGAGGGAAGGCCATAATAAACCTCCCCCTTGCATGTCAGTCTGGAAAAGCTTCCCCTGTGCATTGTTCCTGTGGGTAGGCTAAGCCTGTCCTCTGTGGTCCTTTTTTATTTGTCTGAATACCTGCTTGGGGTGAAGACCCAATGAAATAAGGATCTCTGGTTTACCTGGAGGGTGAAAGGGTCCTCTGGGAGATCCTAGAACGGTCTTGTTAGTGGGAATAATCAGGGGGTGGCTTTTTCAAGAATGTCAAGGGCATGTCCTCTGACTTCTCTGTTCCTTTAGAAGGAAAATTGGAAACATGTCATGGGTTTTGTAGGGTCTTCAAAAGCAAGCAGGGTTGTAATTATTCTTTTGTCTTAGGGAAAATGGTGACCAGGACACACAAGTGGCAATCCAGATGCGACAAAGTGAGATACATGGTGTGTGTGTATGTGTATGTGTGTGTGTGTGTGTGTGTGTGCCTGTGTGTAATCTCATATGCCTCAAGTAATGATAATATTGTTCTCCATTGTCCTTTTCTGCTAGTTCTCTCTAGATGATTATTTATCACCTATCAATATACACCTGGAAACCACTTTGTGAGTTCTAGGCAATCACTTGTTTGCAGTAGAAGGTAGGGGGTGAACAACAACAGAGTACAATTTGTAAGAACACCTCTAATCACATAGTTCCTACTGAGAGGTTTCATACATTTCATGAGGCAAGCTGTCAGAACCAATGTACCTTTTGTTTCTTCCTCTATAGGTAAGATTCAGGAAAACTTTAAGAACTCATGCCTCCTGTTAGAAATCATAGTTTGGGCCGAACTGCAAAAATTTGTTGGTTTTTTCTTCTCCCTGGGTTCCAGTGAATCTTGTTATCTTTCTTGGTTCACATTGTACCTTGGAAGATTGCTATTAGAAAATATGATTTTATTTTCCTAGTAATTCTATTAGTGAAATTATAAAATTATTTGTGTTGTGTTTTAAGTGAAAAAATGGTCATTTGGGTACACAAGTGTAATAATCCCCAAAAAATTATTTTTAATTAAGTTGATAGCTAATACATGCATATTGATGAGGGTTCTCATGGGGTTCTCTAATAAGCATAAATTAAACTAAACCTTACCTTTCAGAATTTAGTAACTGGGTCACATCTTTTAAAATTAAATTTGAACAGATTTTTTTCTTTACAAAAAAGAGAAAAAAAAGAACTCTAACTCCAAGAAAGCTTTAACGTGTTCAAATGAGTGTGTAATTTTTCTTCAATAATAATAGCTAAATTGTGTAGCATGCTTGACTACAAAACTTTTTATACACATCATCATTGGACATTCTTTTGACCTAATCATAAGTAACCTTTTCATATTGATAGTATAAATATATGGAATTAGAATTTATTAGTTAAAGTACAATGGAAACCTTTAAAATAAATTTTCTTCATCTTATATCCACTAGGTAATATTTTTGAAGTCATGGTGCAGTCACAGAGCAGAGAAATAAACTTCCAAACTCTTCCCATGAAAAACTACAGTTACTATGAATTGTTACATAGCTCTAGGGTTCATAGTTGTAGGGGAGGCTGGCTTAACTGATGACTCCATGACTAGGATGCTTGCATTGTTTTCCGAGTTTGCTCCTTAGCAAATCAGAATAAATGAAGAAACTGAAGCCATGTCTTCTTGATGCCCAAATAGCAGGCTTGTTGAGTGGGGATAGGAAGAAGATATGACTCAAACTGGATGTTTGGTATCATATCTAGAAAAGTATCTAGCATTTTGGTTGACTAAGTTTCATTTTGCACCTAGTTGTTTGGCATCCTTGAGATGCAAACTAAAAGAGGTCATGGTTGTGTCTTCATGAGATTAAAATGTCTAGTCAGTTGAGTAGGGGAAAAGACCTATAATTTGTCAGGACAGGGTCTGGGAGGTCACTAAATTACTTTAAATTGATGACTTCAAGGTGTGTGGAAATTGTTCCTAACTGCCAAAAGCAGCAAATAATAAAGGGGCAAGGGGCTGGTGTTTGAAAGTGATGCTGCAATCAAAATGAGAGCTGGCATTAAAGATCAAGGAAAAGTCATAGAAAAAGTTCAAAGAGACAAAGGAATGAAGTGGATAGGAAGCTGCTTTTTCCAGAATATTGTCACATGGATGATAACAGCGTTGAGCTTTCCTGCAACTAAACTAGAAGCAGGGACTCAATCACTCACTTCTGCCTGCATGGTCCTAAACAAGTCATAAAATCAATCTTGAATTGGAAGTGAATTCAAAGACCATCCCATGCAACCCATACTTCAACTTGAATCCCCTCTCCAGCAAGGCAAACAAGACGTCATCCCTTACTAACTCACTAAGTAGCTCATTCCAGTTTTGCTAAGCTATGTAACTTAGTTAGATTTCCATTTCTTCATCTACAAACAAGAGAATTGGACTAAATGATCTCAGTTGTTATTCCTGGCTCTAAAATTCTATGATTCTATGTGTCCTTATCATTTTGTAGCATTTGTGTGTTTGGTACTAGCTCTTCAGTTCTCCCTACAAATACAACATAAGGCAAGCTCTTGAAAGCAGTGTAAAACGTTGCCAATGTTTAGGTTACCTAAACAACCCTTGTCTTTTGTATTAGATAAAATTCTGGCTGAAGAGCCAAGAAGACCTAGATTTTAATTGCATCCCAGATATTTATTTACAGGTTATCAAATGCTGGACAAATCATTAAATTTGGCTCAGCAGTAAAATGAGCACGATTATTCTTGTAGCTGTTGCCTAAAGAGGTTGTTGTGAATAACAAATGAAATAACTTCTGAAAAGTGCTTTCAAAAACAGTGACAGATATTTGCTTTATTATGATTATGTATTATCTTTATTAATTTACTCTATATAGTATATCTAGTGCTTCAGATAGGTAGAATTTTTGTGAAACTTCAGAGACCTACTTGTTTAATGGCCTCATCCTTCACCATGACAACAACTCAACCAATTGAGTGTTGTGTTGAAGTCTATACATATGCAAACTTTAATCCAGACCATAGCAACATAGAGATAATAATCTACACTTAAAGGGAGACTATACAAAAGAGAAATAAAGCATTTCTTTTTTGCTATAATTCTAAAGTTATTTATTCCCCTTTAACTAAATTAAAAATAAGTTAAAGGTAGGAGATATCACAACACAAGGAATGACATTGGGCTGTGATATTTGAATCCAATTGATCCATGACTCAGAAGTTCCCAAACTTATTTGGTCTACTGCCCCCTTAAAAAAAATTACTCAGTGCCCTCCTGGAAATCTTACAAACTAGGAAAGAAGTCTCAGATTAAGTGAACAATTGCATCTGAGGCTACTATCACCCACCTGCATCATTTCAGCTGCCCCAGGGGGTAGTATCACCCACTTTGGGAATCACTGCAAGTGATCTTTTTTCTTCCATGAATATGATTTAGAACTTGCTTACTCTGAGTTCTGACCTCCATGTGGGAAATAATGCTAGGTATTGAAGAATATAAACCATTTACCTTAGTGTAACTTGTAACAACTGTAGGTTTATTCAATCAAAGTAGATTGTAAATTGCACAGCAGATCTGGTAGGGATGACTACCATATTTGAAAAGATAATGATGAGTCTTTCTCTTTCTAGACACTAGTGAAATCTCTATCTTTCTGCAGCCAAGAATGCCCTTCAACTTGTAGTAAATCACCATGCGGTCATCTGGTGCTTATGAATATCCCCTCTACCATTACTGAATGTGCAGATAAAAGGCACTGTAGTTCACCAGTTTCAATAGTTCAGATGCCAAATATATGTTTCATTTCAAACTAGATCATCTGGATCTCTTCGGCCTAAATTATGCATATCATCAATGAGAAATAGCCTGTGTCTCTCTTCAAAATTACAACATGTGTTAGATCTGGTATTATTGTTAAGGTAGCTAACATCTACCTTTAATAATATGTAATATTATTACTAGATCAGAGAAAATCCAAATTTCAAGCAGACAATCTGTGAATAATGGAATCAGTAATATCAAGTAGTCACTTAAGGAAAAAAACAATATATTAATTCTATTTTATTTTTAAAGTCCTAAAATAATGGGTGTTTTTTCCCCCAGTGAGTTAACATAAAGTTTAACTGAGCCACAGCTCACTCAGTGTGAAGCTTTTGGTTGTCTCAACAACCAAATACAATTGCTAGGTGACTCCTATGATAGTGGATGGAATATTCCAAATATCCACTTAGTGTACCAAGGGATATATCTGTTTTCCAGATTTTAAGTGTTGGTGTGTGAAAGAGGAATTAGCACAGTTCTGTTTGGTCCCAGAGGGAAGAACTAGGAGCATTGGATGAACACCACAACAAGGATTATCTTGTTTGGTTGGAGGGAAAACTTCCTCACCATCCGACCATCCACAGATAGAATGAGATGCTTCATAAGACACTGGCTTCTCTCTCATTTGAAATCTTCAGACAAAGAATGAATGACCACTTGTTGGAAATATTTTGGAAGGCATTCTCAATTAAATATTTATGATTTCTGAGGTCCCCTCCCATTGTGATATTATGAGACTCTTTTCTAACCATAAAATCTGCTCTACTGCCAGCCTTGTAGTGGTTAGGTATGAAATCAAGGAGAGTCTGGAAATCAGTTGCTAAAAGATGTTTGGGCATAAATAACCATGCTGACAAAAATATTTAGTGCATTGACTACAGCAGAGGAATCTGTTTCCGTTGTTTATCCCACTAAGTAGAAATATCCCCCAAAATAGTAAGATAAAAAAAAAAAGACTGGGAGGCTGTAAGAGAAGCCAAAACAAACGTAAAGATTAAATAGGGTTCATCCAAGTAAAGCCAATTATAGTCTTTGCCTGGGGTGATTTTGCATATGCCAGCTCAGCATCTTAAAGAGCTCAGGATTTCTTTCATGGCAGTCTCATTTTAGAAGGTGG